CCACCCCACTAGTAATAAAAAAAAAACTTCTATCGAGCCATCGTTTAGCAATGAAAGAAGGGATACACAGACACTTAGACTGATGGGAGAGCTTTATGAAGTAGGGTGTTGAGATGAAATCAGGTGTCATGATATATATACCAGTTTTCGTAAAAATTGGATCAGGCATTCAGAAGTTTGTAAAGAGGAATACACGGGCACACAGACAGCATTGAGATCGTTTAAACCGGCTTTTATTTTTTAAATAAGAAAGTATGTTATTAATATTCATATTAATATATATAGAAACGGCATCTCTTCTATTGTTGCCTGTATTCGTTGCCGTGGGAACGTTTACTGACATTCCTCTAATGTTATAGAAGCGGTCCATGTATCACAATATGTTAGAATTTCATGTATTCGTGTCTAATTATCTATTTTTATACTGGTTTTAAAATCATATTTTCTCTGTTTATTTCAGGGTCCCAAAAACGAATTTACAAGCGGGTCAGGGTGACTGACGTCAGAATTATTTCCTCCTCAGCAAGTGCTGTCATCTGGACGCCGCATCGTGAATTTGAAGAGGACCAAATCACTTTATTTTCTATTACGTGCTTTTATAATGCTCATTACCCATGCAATATGCAAAGTCTTATGTTTTGTTCCAAAATATTGGTATAGTTTGTATTGATATTCTTGAAGAAACATGATTAGAACCAGAACAATTATATCATATTATTTCTTTTGCTTTAAATGCCTCAATGCTTATGTGAATTCCTTGTGTAATTTTACTTTAATAAACCCTAATCATCTGAAATGTATTACACACTTGAACTTATGTAATTACTATAAGATTCAACTATCAATTGTGTTATCAATATTTAACAGTTTGAGATCTTTAATTTGTAACGATAATGGATTTTTTTTCAAAGTCGTAACAATTGATTACGAATTTACCTCATCGAAAAATTATTTAAACGTTTATTTAAATGATAAAACCAACAAATATACTCGTAGACTAAAAATATTCACTCATCCGTTATGAATGTTTTGTTTCACACGCTGATTCAATTACAACTAAAACATTAGTTACATTCAATTCTAAATTTTAAAATATTTAACGTGTAAAATAATAACTCAAATTATTTATATAGATTAACTGCAATTTATAGATTTACTTCTGTAATAGGAATTGACTGTAGAAGTAATCTTCAAGGCTGTCTGAAGTTAAAATTACACGAGTATATAAGATCTAAAAGTTTTTGACGATAATAAATTGGTACAAGTATTATGTTTTTGGATATTATCCATCGTCTTATCTATTTAAAAAAAGTCCTCTTTCTATTTTAAAACACAACGTTTCGGGGACTGGATTCTGTCCCCGTTTTAAGGTAAAACCTACTCAGTTGTGTTTTAAAATAGAAACAGGATTTTTTAAATAGATAAAACGATGGATAATATCCAAAAACATAGTACCTGTATATGAGTATATGTATACACAATGGACTCCAATTTAGTACACACTATTCAATCTCAAAATTTGCTAATGGAGAAACAAAAGTACATGTTTCAATATGTTCTTGTAATAAAATAAAGAGAGGGAAATGTTTTTACTATAATTTTAAAGTATTTGTAAGTTTTAATTACTCTATGTATCCCAGATTATTATGTAATCATATTAAATGATTTGTTAAAAAAAAACAAATAATTCACAATCTTCTTTTGTTGAATTATTAGCTTCTCTCTACAGTGAAAATTAATTTATTTAAACTGACATTACTGGACTTGAGTTCCTCACGGCAGTGACTAAGAAAAATACTACCATATGAGAAGTGACGCCGTGTAGTCTGATAGAAATTCATTGGTATACTGCGTAATTGCTTGGTTTGCTTTCCGAATCTGAAGATAGAAGACTTACGTTCCTCCGAAACGTCCAAGAACTTCTATCATACGCGGCGTCACTTCTCAGAAAATAGCACTGTTCGTAAACTTAACTTCCTTGCTCCGCAGTCAGCCTAGGCAGGACCGGAAACGGAGAATCCCACCGGAAGCCCAGGATGTGATAATGCACTGACCTTTCACGTAAATTAGCTCCACTCTTCTTGACAGTCAACAGTTGCTCAGACACTCAAGAAATTCCCAACATCCTGTGGAGCCAGATATTTCGTTATCATCTTCACAAGAGCCCGCCGCAGGTCTCTGTCCTGAGCAAGAAGAATCCACTCCATAACTCCCATCACATTTCTCTAAGATACATTTTAATATGGGGCATGCAATAGTGTAGTTAGTTGAGGCACTGTGCTACAAGCCGAAAGGTCGCGGGTTCGGTTCCTGATGGAGTTCATTTTTTTCAATTGATCCAATTCTTCCAGCCCAACAATGGCCCTAAGATCGACTCAGCCTCTAACAGAAATGAGTTAACAGGACACTTCTTGGGGGTAAAGGACAGCCGGAGCGTAAGGCTGACAACCACACCGTCATCTGTGAGCTGACTTTCTAGAAAATGTGGGAACCTCGACGTCTCACAACCTAATGAGCCTCCACTGTCTGTTACAGGGATAGCTTTTCCTCCATCTATTGTTGAGGTCAAAAATGGTGAGGTTATACCTCCTCTCCGTCACGTTGTTTTCATGGCATACTGCTTAACTGATTAATTAATTAAGCACAGCGACAAATTTATCTTTTACCTTAAGCTTTTAAACAGCAGAAAAGGAGACAAAATTTTCTGAACTGAATGATAACATCATAACGGGAATTTAACATATTCCAAATTTTTTTATAAATCAAATTCTGATTTGTCATTGTCGTCCCAAAATATTTAAAATTTACCACGTTATCAGATTATCTAGTGGCTGTCTTTATAGATGTCACTATTATCTTATGAATTTCTTTATATATCCTTAATACTTTTTTTTTCCTTGGCACTACAGCCCCAGTGGGCCTAGGCCTACCTCCATGAAACTTTCCGTTTCACTTCGATTTACTAGATCTTACACATTCGGTAGGACTCCTTAGGCGGGTGATCAGCTCGTCGCAAGGCCTCTACCTGTAGACAAACACAGAAAAACGCACACAAACATCCATTCCCTGAGTGGGATTCGAAGTCACGATCCCGGCTTCCGAGCGAGCGAAGACAGTACATGACTTAGACCGCTCGGCTACCGTGACCGGCAGTGCATAAGAATAATATATAAGAATTCAGTCCGTACCTCACAGGAAACATCCGAACCCACGATCCCGGCTTCCGAGCGAGAGAAGGCAGTGCATGCCTTAGACCGCTCGGCTACCGTGACCGGCATCCTTAATACTTGGAGCCACAAAAACAACGTAGACTACGTCAGCTATGAAGTGTTCGAAACGTCGGCGAACTCTACAACACTATATAACATCACGTTCCAGAAGATATTTCTCTTAAAATATAGACTACATTTATAAGAACTAGTGGATAGTGACGTAGATTAATCTTCATGTTGCAATTTTTATGGTCGTCAGAAAGCCCACAGATATTAATTCAGTGAAAGAAAATTTAGAAACTGAAACATAAAGAAAAGCATTCAGGACTATGTATCAGTGCAGGACATAATACCAAGAAGAGTACATTAGAAGTTTCAGCTAATCCCCCACCCCCACTTATTCCTTGAAACGTTTGTATCTATGAGCTGGATTAGCAAGACAGAGGAAACGTATATTCATTTACGGGTTTCCGCTGTCTGCCCATCTCTTTCCTTCTTCACATAATAAAGATACATTATGACAGAGAGAACAGATATTCATTTTTGTTTGGGAGCGGACTGACGCATATTAGCATGTCTGTAGTTATTACCAACTTTTCTTTATTTCCCTAAAGATACGACTCATTCTCTTAAATAAAAATTTTCTCTGGAGCAGGGTTGGGACACGAAAAGTTTGAAAATTAAGATACTCAGCAACCTCACGCCGTGTTTAGAAAAAGCCAGCCGCGATAGGGCAGTCCGTATAGCGCCTGGCATAGGGTTGGAAGGTTCAGGTATCGGAGTTCGAATCCCGGTCGCCCAGTTACGTTCTGGGGTCCACGTAGCCTTCTATCCAATGGGTACAGGGGCTCCTTCTCCGAGGGTAAAGCAGTCGAGGCGTGAAGCTTACCACCCACCTCCAACTAGTGTCACCCTCACCTATCATCTGGGGCTGGTACAATAGACCAGAAATGGCCGCAGTATAAGGGACTTAGTCCCACCCGACTAGCAAAAAAAAAAATAGTTTCACGTTCATACGAAGCAGCAAATTCGGTTACGAATTCGAAAATTTTTTGACAAGAGACGACAAAACAAAAGACTAATATGTAGCAAGCAATCTCTGACCTTAATTTCTTCACGAATACAATCCTGATTTGCGTCTTTCCCAAAAATTTAAATTTCACACTTCCAAGATATCAGTTATATCCGCATGCCATTAACTTATCATCTTGTTTCGCATTCTGGTGACAAGGTATGGATATTTACTTATTTTAAATTTGATGTTCTCGTAGTTGTGCCAGTAATATTTCTGGTCATAAGGCAATGCGGTCCGATAGAAATGCACAGAAGTTTCTGAAAACATTCTGTCTCCACTTATAGGATCCAAGAATGATCAAAGAAACCTGTTTTTTTGCTGTATTCTTTGTTAGCTCAAAATTCGACCATGAAGACGGTGGAAACACAACAATACATTTCTTCCACGCTACATAACAATACATACCAGAAGATAATACTAAACATATACTTATCATTATTATCATATAATTATAAATCATGTCAGCACTTAGAAATTTCTTGAATGATACACAGTACTAAGAAATTATTTCATGTAGTCCTGCAGAAATTCATCGAAGCTTCCAAGTAACTGACTTCCGTCCTCCTGAAAGTCGAAGAATGAACTAGGAAAAAAAAACAACCAATAAAGTAGCAGCAGGCAAATTGGGGATAATATTCTGTTTGACTTCCACTTTAAACCTGAAAATGGACGCAGAATGTTCCTCCGAAATATCAGTGGACCTCTACACGACAAGATATTATATCCCAGAAATAATTCTCTTCATAATCATCATTATCAGAAGGTCAGATCCCTTCTTGTACTGTTTCACAGCAAGAACCCCATTGTCCTGTAAACACTACAAGAAGGGACATTTAAACCAAATAAAACCCTAGCCATTCTGACAGCAAAGCCTTCAATAATTACATCGTGAGACTGGGAAATCAAAAGAAGGAAAGAAACAAAAAACAAATTTCCGGAAGAGAAGAAAGTCATCACATGAAAAAGTAAGGTAGAAAGCAGAGAAAGTAGAAAGAGAGGAAACTCTAATAAAAATGGGTGCGATACGAGAAGGAGATATATCTGTTGCCATGTTGCTTCAGGGATCATCAAGTCAGCGAGCCTATTTTGTTTTATGGCAACACCGCGTCTCCCCTCGGGGGCAATAATTCGAGAAGAGTGTTAGAAGGAGCAACCCTGAGAAATGGGATCAAGAGAAACAAGGGAAGTAGTAGAACACGTACGAAAATGTTCCTAGTTAAGAGAAAAGAAAGTTAGAGAGGGGAAGATATGTAGAAATAGCCTCAGAGAAGGAATTCATATTTCAGCTTCCATTTTGTCGTGTTGTCAATATATGTCAAAAGGAGTAGCATGACTGTAGAAAGGGCAATAAAACAGGTAGAAGAATTCTACAAGAAGTTCTGCTAGAAAATAGAAAAGAAAAAAAAAAGAAGACTGTAATAAAGAAAGAAACTCCTCGCGTTGCTGAAATCTTCTAGTACTTGAGAAAACGTGTTCGTATTTGATTGAATCTGAAATGATTTCCGTTCATAAACAATTTATACTCTTTAATATTTTTGTAGATGAAATTCGTTTCAAACCATTTGAATTGCCGAAGTTCGTAAACTTTATTTCAGTTACGATTTACTTTATAAATCTAATACATCGAATTGTCGAGCATCCATTTTAAGACTGAATTTCTATCC